CCGCGACCGCCATGGCCGCGGCCGCCGCGAGCACTTCCGGGTCGAAGCCTTAGCTTCCGGGAGGGGTGTTCTACTTCCGGGACGTCCGCCCCGCCCCGCCAGGCGCGCACCGCGCCGCGCCCGCGCCATGGACGAGCCGCCCGAGGACGTGAGGGCTTTCCTCCGGCAGCACCCGAGCCTGCGCCTGCTGACGGACACCGGCAGGGTCCGTCCCGGGGCCGGGGGCGCGAGGGGAGGGGAAGGGGGCCGGGGGGGCGCGGCTTCTGACCCGACCCCCCGCCCGCCCGCCCGCAGGTGAGGTGCGCCCTGACCGGCCACGAGCTGCCCTGCCGCCTGGCCGAGCTGCAGGCCTACACTCGCGGCAGGAAGTACCAGCGCCTGGCGCGCGCCGGCCCGGCCTTCGACTACGCCGAGTTCGAGCCCCACATCGTGCCCAGCACCAAGCACCCGTAGGTGGCTGGCGCGCCCTTCCCCCGGAGCACCTGCCCCCGGCGACCGTGTCACACCCGGGGCCGCGGGGCCGGCTGAGCGCCGCGTTCGCTCACGCTGCAGCCCAGCTGCTCGAGAGGCTGGGGCCGGATCGCGTTTCCAAGCCACCCGGCGCAGGAAAGCCCGTGCCACTATCCGACTTACCACCAAAAAAGCCGAAGTGGGGCCGTGGCTCAAGTGGTAGAGAGCTAGCCTTGAGCGGAAAGCCTCAGGGACCGTGTCCGGGTCCTGAGTTCAAGCCCTAGGACCGCAGGCCCCCCCTTCCCCCCCCGCCCAAACTGGACAGGCCGTGGAGCCTTCTGATGGCGTCTTTGGCGAAACTGTCCCTGCGAACCATCCTTTTTGTCTCACAGGCACCAGCTGTTCTGCAAACTCACCCTACGACACATCAACAAAGCCCCTGAGCACGTGCTGAGGCACACCCGCGGCCGGCGCTACCGGAGAGCACTGCAGCAGTGTAAGTTACTGGAAGCCAGAGACGCCCGCAGGGCAGAGGGGGACCATGGTCACCTTCCAGACATCCTTGGTTACACCTGACAGTCCAGGCACAGTAAGGAAAAGGGAGGTGGTTTGGGACCTCACGGACTTCCAACATAGATGGGTGCACAGGTACAAGCAGGCTGGGGAGGAACTTGTGGTAAGTATTGGGTGGGACAGAAACTACTGTGGAGGAAATGTCTTCCAGGGTTGCTCCTAGGGGACCAACCTGTGGTCCTCTGGGACTGGGAGGGCTGACAGCCTCCACCAGCATGCAGTTTGGGGCAAGCTAGGCTGCAGAGGACCTTAGAGGCTGTGGTCAAGGCTAGGTCCGCTGGGAACAGATTAGCGGCCTGTGGAAGATGGAGGGGGACTTGGCAGGGAGGTTGTGCTGGGAAGGCACTGTCTGTGACTCAGTCCAAGGCTGAGTAGTCAGCCCTTGGTCGTCAGGGGAGCAGGGAGAGCTGCTTTTTTGTTCTTAAATTCAGGGCAGCTTAGGGAGGAAGGCCAGTGCTTAGGCACTGTAGAGCTGTGCCTGAACCAAGAGGGAGCTTCCCTGCCTGAGTTTGCAGAGGGGACTAGGCAGTCCTGAGCACCGGAAAGCCCCAGGAGAGGTAAGAGTAGGAAAGTGACCACAGGATTGGACCTGGCACCCCTCCCCAAGGCAGCTAAGGCATCGTGCGGACCAACCCTGGCTAGATTCTGGTGAGGGCAAGGTCTGGCCTGAACAAGGAAAACATGGAGACATACAGGTGAACACCGGAGGAGGATGGGGATAGGGGAGCGGGTTGAGTGCTTGCATTGCTGTCCCGCCCCTAGCAGGGGCAGGTGAATGCTGACTTGAGGATGAGAAGATGCAGAATAACAAGGTGAGGGGTTGGGCCTACAGTCCTTGGGGTTCCTGGAGCTAGCAACAAGACCATTGAGCTACGGTGGAGAAAAACACACACACACACACTTGGATGGTCTGTGGAACTGAGGCAGGAATGATCTGGAAGAGTCAGGATGTGGCTGTGGGAACGTGCTGGGGAGGCGTCTGTGGAGGCGGCGGCAGGCAGCGACAGGAGCCAGAGGACAGCAGAGCTGATATCCCCCATGCTGTTAGACTGAGGGTCTGGCTCCAGCAGATCTTCAGTATGTGAGCACAGCAGAGGGATCCCCAGTAAGCGTCTTCCATGAAGCTTCATATTGGCCTTGGAGCTCCAAGCGCAGAAGGGAGGGTCAGGCAGCTACATGGAGCAGCTCCCTAGGGCATGTCCCCACAGTGCTGAGGGGGAAGACTGGTCAGCTGGTGATAGGCTTGTGTCTTGCCATGGGGCCTCATGACGGGTCTGCACACTGCCCTCGCAGCCAGCTTCTTGTAGCCTGGCCTGGTGGACCTGCACCACTCTCTGGCCTCTGGGTAGGACCTGAGCCCAGCTGCCCACTCACTCCAGCTCTGGTCGATATCTGGTGGGGTGGAGATCTGAGGCCCTGACGGTGCAGCCTCCATGGGTTATCACCATGTCCAGAGGCCCTGGTGGCACTGAATACCAGTGTAAGCTGGTTTGTCTCCCAGATGAAGAGTGCCAGGAGCAAGGAGTGGAGTATGTCCCTGCCTGCCTGCTGCATAGGAGGAAGAGGAAGGAAGTCCACACAGACGGGGATGGACCTGGCCTGAGAGCAGCGTTCTGGGAGCCAGCCTCCAGCGATGAAGGGGAGAGCCCAAGTAGTGACGACAGCATGACAGACCTGTACCCGCGTAAGCAGGCCCCATGCGCCCTGCTAATACCACAGCCATCTGGGCATTTCCCTCCTCAGCCTTGCCCCACCCCATCCCAAAGGCCAAGCGTTGGTGTACCTCCAACAAGCCTGAAACGGCATCTATTCCTTATAATAGCCGAGCTGTTTGCCAAAAAGGACCTGGGAGGACAGAAGAATGAGGATGGCTCCACCGACTTTCTGACAGACCAAGAGGAGGTGAGGCCAAGGCCCCCAGGAGAGGCAGACACTGAGGACAGAAAGGAGGTGGGAATGGACTGCAGGCAGATGTGTAAGCGGAGAAAGGTGAGCTCCTACCTGCGGCCCAGTATATGCCAGGCACACCTTCCACAAGTGTTCTTCCAAAAGCTATTTCACGCTGACAAGGAACATGCAAGCCACAGTCTCCAGAAGTTCTGAGCTGGGGAGCTTGGGCATGGCCTCGGGAAGGGCTTGACTTCTGAAGACCACCTTTCCTCCGTTACAGGGTAGGAAACAGAGCTGGGGTTTTAAAAGGTCAAGGTTTTTGAGGGGATCTACAGCACCCTCTAACCCAGCACAGAAAGGCCTGATGGCATGTCCTAGCCATACAGAATCTTCCTCATGGGGTCCGAAAGGCCTGGTAACCTAGCCTTTTCTCTGCTTCGCCACAGAAACAGCTTGGGTCGTTGACCAAGAAGCCCAGGAGCTTCAACTCCTTCAAGCAGTTGGGGTAACGAAGACTACGGAGACCCACCCACAGGTCCCACTGTCTCTTGACTTGCTGGAGTTCTGACACGAAGGCAGCGGCAGGGCTTCCCAAGCTGCTCTGTGTGAGGCTGCTCTGGGCTGCGGCGAGCCTGGCCAGGCCCGCCCAGGCTGGATGCTCCTCCCATAGGATCACACCGCATACCACAAATGCCTTTATTTATTTTGATGTTTCCAAAAATCAAAACATTTTCAAACACAACTAAGATATAAAATACAGCATAAAAATGAGATTTATACCTATCCCCACATAAAGCAAAAAGCATTTTCAGTTATTTTTCTAAACCAATGGGTAGACTGTTTCTTTTTCTCCCCACCTGGCAGTCCACTGAAGACTAACAGATGGAGTAGTGGGCCCCTAGACAGGCCGCTGCTGCATGGCAGGGCTGACCAAACACTTGCTCCCAGGCTCAACTCCACACGTCATGTCATGCGACAGGGCCAAAGGGTGTGTGTTGAGGCAGTCTTGCTGTGGCGGCATCCCACACGGGCCTTTCTGTAGGATGAGGGAAGGCCTTGAGGCCAGAGTCTTTACTACATCTTACCTAAATGGGTGTGATGGGGCAGTCTGTGAGGCTCAATGGGACACAGGGAGAGTGCTGGAAAGGCATCACTGGAGCAGGTGGATCTAGGGTGCTATGCCAGTGGACTGGACTAAGGGGAAACCCAGAGATGGCCCCTTAAGAGACTACTGGAGTGGACAAGCCTCCACCATATCCCCCCAGGTTGTATGGGTTTGTCCCCACAAGTCTAGGAGAGATCCAGAGATTGTGATTAACCATGGCATTTCACTGTCATCATATGAACATGAGACACCTTCCCTCACCCCCCAAAAAGAGAAACACAGTGTAAGGCAATGTTAGAAAACTTTAAATACAGGATCAAGATCAAATCGGTAAGGCATCACAGATTGTAAAAAGTAACCTTGGCTGCATTCAGCATACAGGATGACAGAGAGCAAGCAACAGCCTTTGGAGGTGGTGTCAGGGTGGCCCAGCACATAGCCTGGACTGGAGGAGCACTGCTAAGCCGGGGTGGAGCATGGCCTGCAGGCTTCAGGCATTGCTCTGAGGTTGAGGTGACTGGGTTGAGCCTTGGGTCTCCAGTGCGGGGCTAGTGTCGCTGCTAGGCCGCAGACTGCTGCTCCTCCCAGACTGGTTCCATTGAGGGGCCAAGCATCCTGTGTGCAGCTCCCTCACCAGCTCTCCCCACTGTCAGGCTCCAGATATTCAGTCCCTGCCTTGAGCCACTGAAGCTCCCAGGGTGTTTTCCACCCACTGGCACATGGTGCGTGTTCAGCTGAAGTCAATCACTTCGCTGTCACCAGCAGCCTCAGTTGCCCCTCCAATACTGCACCATTCTCTGCATCTGGGGATTTTCTAAATGTCTTCAGTGATTCTAAAAAGTCTAATGCAGGGGCCAAAACAAGGTTGGAACCCCTGGTAAGATTCTAAACCAGGGGTTTAGCCGTATGGTTGATGTTCAGCTGGACCATCCAAAATCATTTAGTAGGTTTGAGCTAAGGGTGTAAACTTACAAAAGAAAAAAAAAGATAGACAAATGTGTCTGCTCACAGTACAGCTTGAAGGCCCTCAACCCCCCCCCCCAAAGAACTCAAAGCCAGATGGACAGGCCACAACCCACCAAGCTGCTGGCTCTTAAGCCCTGGCGGGGAGTAAGGGCAGGCTGGCCAGCCTGACGGGGAGGGGGGGCTAAGGGCGGGCTGGCCATTCAGCTAGTTGTTCAGCTTCCATACTGCGGTTCCAGAGCAGACTTCATCAATTTTCAAATGTCTGCAAATAAAGTTCTCAAAACATCGGTGCCTTTACCAAGGGAGGGGGAGGGAAAAGGACACATAAATGCTGGCAGTTGGTGACTCCACCCTGAACCAGTCCTCCACACACTGTGGGCCTTGACCAGGGAGAGAAGGGAGCTGTCTGTTACCACTCTTTCTTCTTTTCATCCATGGAGACGCCCCCTGGGCCCAGGGCCACCACCAGGAGCAGGCCTCCGATCACGGACATGGTTTGGAAGAAGTCGTATTTCAGGAAGTCATGCATGGGCTTATAGACTGGAATGGTCCAGAAGGCGTTGAAATACACGTTGATAGCAAACAGCCAGACGACAAGAGTCAAAGCTGCCAGCTTGGTTTTAAAACCAATGGCCACTAAGATCATCAGAGCTGTACCCACAATATTCTGGATGATCTGCACAGGGAGAAAGTAAAGTCACTCAGACTAAAGGTTGGGAGGAAAGCTATGCTGTTTTTTTAATACACATGGCCCAATGAGTGCCAGGCTGGCGCATTACTATTGAACAGCAGTGGTGGTGGTTTTTAAATACCACTTGCTAAACTGGAAGAAGTTTTGTATCTATTAAAGATGGGATGAGACGGTTTTAGTGTACCTCGCCAGCGTCTTGTGTTAGACTGGATACCCCATGACCTATGGTAATAGCTAGGGAGGGGACAGGGAGGGGAGGACGCAGCTCTTGAAGATTGAGTCGGGTCACTGGAGAGGCTTGCCTCTCTCACCTATGTCACTCTACTGCCTTGGGCCCTGCAGAGTCCTCAGCAGCAAGACGACCCTCACCAGGTATGACCACCCAACCCTGAACCTTCTGGATTCCAGACCATGGTTAAACAAAACATTATACTTTACTAATTAAACTCTATAAACTGCCCAGTCCGTGGTATTCAGCTAAGCAGTAAGAAAATGGCTGAGAATGAAAATATGTACCAAGTAGAAGACTGTTGTTACACAAACACCTGGAACATGGTAGCGTGAACAGAGCATTTGGGACAGTTCTGGTAAGGGCTCAGGAGATAAGAAGACAGATTCTGGAACTTCTTAGTTCCTTAGTGACTAGAACTCCGATAAAAGCAGTAGTAGTACGACTCTGTGATAAGTCAGAAAGTGGACATACAACAGCAAAAGATGTAAAGTTGGCCATATGGTGGCCAGGCCCTAGCACTTAACAGATACACAAGTTCACCTGGCTGAAGAAACTTAGAAGCAGCAAAGTGCTCAAGGCTGCATGGCTACTTTTGGATGGGTTCCAGTGAAATGGAATAGAGAGGACTAAAGAGACTGAATGCATAGGCAGGCACCAGTGGCTCACATCCGTAATCCTGGCTACTCAGGAGGCTACAATCTGATGATCAAAGCTTGAAGCCAACTGGGGCAGAAAAAGCTACAAGTGTGTGTGTGTGTGAAGCTAACTGGGGCAGAAAAAACTACAAGTGTGTGTGTGTGTGTATGCACACAGGCAAATGTACACATACCAGTACTGGGACTTGAACTCAGGACCTGGCACTTTTGCTTGGCTTTTGACCAATCTGCCCAGTCTAGCTTTGAACCACAATCCTCAGATCTCAGCCTCCTGAACAGCTAGGAATACGGGCATGAGCCATTGGTATTCAGCTTGCTAGATTCTCATTTCCAATTAACCAACAAAAACCCAAAACTGGAGGCATGCCTCAAGTAATAAAAGTGAGAAAAAAGCCAAGGGAGAAGAGTGCAAGGTCTGAGAGTTTATATACTACTGCCACAAAACAAAACAACAACAAAAAAAAAAACCCTCAATTTATGATTAAAAGGGAAACAATGGAATTTCAGAATTTCTCAGCTTGGCCACATGGTAGAAGATAAAAAATCATATTCAGCTGACCACTCAGGAGGTTGAGATCACAGGAAAGTCTATGGGACTCCCTTCTCCAATTAACCACCAAAAAGCAGGAAATGGAGCTGTGACTCAAGTGGTTGAATGCCAGCGTTGAGCAAAAGAGTTCAAGGACAGTACCTAGGCCGAGTTTAAACTTTAAAACTGGCACGCGTGCATGCACACACAAATCATATTCAACAAGGAAAGTAAGTGGAGGCCAATTTTTTTTTTTTTTTTTTGATCGTGGGGCCTGATCTCTGGGCCTGGGCACTGTCTCTCAGCTCTTCAGCTCAAGGCTAGAGCTCTACCACTTGAGCCACGGTGCCACTTCCAGCTTTTTTCTGCTTATGTAGTGCTTGCTGAGGAATCAAACCCAGGGCCTCGTGCATGCAAGGCAAGAGCTCTACCACTGAACTACCTTCCCAGCCCCCCCAATTTTTTTTCTAGTGGGGCTGAACTTCTTTTCTAAACAGGGTCTTGCTATGTAGCATGGCTAACCTGAATTCACAATCCTTCTGCCTCAGCCTGCTAATTACTGAGATTATAGGCATGTTTCACCACATCCAGCTAAGCACTATCTTTTTTGGGGGGTTGGTCATGGGGCTTGAACTCTGGACCTGAACACTGTCTCTCAGCTCTCCAGCTCAAGGCTAGCACTTTACCACTTGAGCCACGGCACCACAGCCTGGGCTGGCTTTGAACTGGGATCCTCATATCTCAGCCTCCTGAGTAGCTAGGATTATAGGTGTGAGCCACTGGTCCCTAGCAAGCACTATCTTTAGTGTAAAAGGTTTGGGGAAGATTAAAACAAAGTCTCCTAGCTAGAGCAGACTGATTTACCAAGATAAGCTTAAAGTGTTGGCGCTGTGGATCTGTCATAACTCGGTGACCCAATCCACTCAGCTACCCAGTCACAGCTCGCTTCTTGGACACACTTTGCCTGGCCAACGCTCCAAGCTGGCTTTGCTCATAAGAGCTGGCACGCAAAACAAATCAGCACAGGTATGAACCACAGGAAGGAGAGAAGTGAAAGTCGGACCTTGAGTGAAGGTGGGAGGCTGGGATCTGCTGAGAGGCAGATCCTTGGCATAAATAAGTAAGCTGGCAGGTGGGCACAGGGAGACAGGGCCTTTGAGAAGGCAGGAGTACTCACAGAAAAGAAGCTGGCATCAAAGTGAAGGAGGGTCATGAACATCAAGACCAGTAAGACTCTGCCTCCGAGCTGCATGTACTGCTTGGGGGAGCTCTCACGCATGGTGGGGACGCCTGCGAACATGCTCTTCCCTTCAGACCGGGACTCCGCTAAAAGCAGCAACAAACCTCCTCCCAGGGCCAGGTTCCTGAGGAACAAAAAGCCAGCTAGAAGCTAAAGCTCCTGGGGCACCTGTCCAACAGGCCAGACCAAGGCAGATCTGACAGGTGTACAGCAAGATCCTTCATTCTCTTTCTCCAAACCAAGTGTCAGCCTCAAGTTGAACCGTCAGTGAGGAGCCCCCTGGAGGTGCTCAGAACCAAGTCCTGGTTGGTCTCCATTCTCACTGAGGGCCTCAATCAGGGGGGAGGAGAGAGGACTCACTCTCACTCCAGTACTGGGGCTCTGGATGCAGCATAGGCTATGCCGCACCCAACACTACCCTGGGGAAAGTGTTTATAGCTGCTGGGAGGGAGGTGAGGGATGGAGGACTGAATGGGAAGCACCTACCTCATCAAAAACTTCAAGTCCCATAAAATGCTGTAGGCAATCGTCTGAGGGTATGAAAGAGAAACCCGAGTCAGTGTTTTCAAACCAACTTCTGTTAATACCACTAGCCAGTTTATACAACATAAAGAATATGAAATACACAAAATTAGTTTAGGACATGGAGGGCAGACTGGAGCACAATAATTTGGTTCCATATTTCTCAAGGGGTGAGGGATGACCCTTGAACCTAAACATCAGAGGCTGTGCCTAGAACTTCCTAGAGAAAGTGGTTCTGAGACCACCAGTCTGGATTGAAAACCTGCTTTAAGTCTTTTATTTCTGCTCACAGGAAATGGAGGAAAAGATGGCTTAGTACTTGGAGCTGGCACCTGCTTGGGAGCAGCCTCCACAGCCTGCTCTGGCCCTGATGCTTCTGAGCCTGCAAGGAGGAAATGCTAGTCACCTCTCCACAGGGAAAATTAGCTTGAAGCAGTCACACCTGCAGAAGGCTGGTCTGATGCTCAGCTCTACAGGGGCAAAGAAAAATGACAGCCAGCCACATACTTCATGAAACTGGTCCTGACTCTGAGAGCCATGCTGTGCCCCTCGTACCTGCAGTGCTATGATTCCAAAAAGCCCGAAACAGGCATACTGTACGAAGTTCCTGCTCAACACCAGAATGCAGCCAGCTAGAAAGAGGACAGCAAGCATTAGGACAACTGCACGTAGCTTCTGGGCAAACCCATATCACCACTCCACCTGGCCTTCTGGTCCAGATGCAGACAAAGTACTCCTTCCCCAAGCCAAACCACCCCCCCCCACCTGGCCCTCTGGTCCAGTTGCAAAGTACCCCTTCCCCAAGCCAAAAGCAATTTCTGGGAGACTGAACAATAGGCAAGGTGCACAAGACATTATCTAGACTTGAACTGTCCAAAGCATGGGTGCCTTGCTGGACCAGAGAGCAGGCCATTTCCCAGCACCAGTGGCCCACCAAGAACAGGACTATGACTGTTCTACCACAGACAGCTTTGTGTGCCAGTCCTGGGGCTTGAACTCGGGGCCTGGGTACTCTCCCTGAGTGTTTTTCCTCAAGGCTAGTGTTCTACCACTTGACCCACAGCTCTACTTCCAGCGTTTTTGTTTCTTGTCAGTCGTGGGGCTTGAACTCTGGGCCTGGGTGCTGTCCCTGGCTCTTCAGCTCAAGGCTAGTTCTCTACCACTTGAGCCACAGCACCACTTCTAGTTTTCTGGTGGTTAATTGGAGGTAAGAGTCTCACAGATTTCCCTGCCCAGGCTGGCTTCAAATTGTGATCCTCTGATCTCAGCCTCCTGAATAGTTAGGATTACAGGCATGAGCCACCAGTACCTGGTTGAACTGACCAAGACTGGCAAGCACAAGTCTCCTTCTCCCAAGGGAGGAAAACTGCAACCCAAAACAAAGCCTGTCTATCAGGAGGAGGAGGCAAAACAAAGCCTGTCTATCAGGAGGAGGAGGCTCTAAGTCCCCTTTCCCTTCTGACCTAAATCATCTCCTTTTTAGACACCTTCGTTAGCCACTGGACTCCAACAAGGACTCCAACAAGGACTGCATCTAACTTCTTTAGCAAACCCCAAAGCAATGAGCCCAGAACTAGGTACAAAAACCCCAAACACAAGATGGGCGCTGGTGGCTCACGCCTGTAATCCTAGCTACTCAGGAGGATGAAATCTGAGAATCACAGTTCAAAGCTAGCCTGGGTAGGCACTAGCCTTGAGCTGAAGAGCACAGGGACAGTGCCCAGGCCCAGAGTTCAAGCCCAACGACTGACAAAAATCACCCAAACACAGCCTAGTGACTCATGCCTGTAAATCCCAGCTACTCAGGAGGCTGAGATCTGAGGATCACAGTCCAAAGCCATCCTTGGCAGGAAAGTCCCTACGACTCTTATCTCCAGTTAACCATCAGAAAACCAGAAGTAGAGCTGTGGCTCAAAGTGGTAGAGTGCTAGCCTTGAGCAAAAGAGCTCAGGAAAAGCACCCAGGCCCTAAGTTCAAGTCCCATGACTGGGGGGAAAAAAACCTACACAGAGAGCTGGTAGAATCGATGCAGACCCCCCTGTGCTAGAGACCCTCAAGAGACAGCGGAAAGGACTGAGAGTTCAGAAGGCCTTCTCTGAACACACTCTCCTCGTAATGCTGAGTGTTTCCTGGAAAGGTCAGTCCTGGCTTAACTGGAACTGAGATTTCTACCTTGGGTGGGGGCTAACTCTACCCTAAACTGTGTGGGAGACTGAGGGTAGACTTAGGTTTATGCAAATTGTAAGCTATTTACAGTTCAGCTCTCTTTCCCAGAATGAGAAGGTCATCTACCACTTGTATACAAAACCTTGTCTCACATTGAAGTTTGTACTTCCTTGCACAAGACCAATAAAAACCTTGGCTAATGGAGCCTTGGGATCTGCCGCTGGCGCGAGGCTCCGGGTCTTCTAGTACCCCAACCTCAGTTCCACAGTCCAGTCTCGGTTACTGCCTTGCTCCCGGTCGCCGGGGATCAAAGAGCTTGCAGCCAGTTGCAACACTCAAGTCCACACGCACTGTCCCCATCACCACCAACCCTGTGCTCTGGGCCTGGCATTACGGAGGGAACAGGGGCCCCAAGGCATCCTGACAAGCTCCAGAGCCACTTACTCAGCTGTCCAAGCAGGTTGAGGAACACAAAGGATGAGGCCAGCAGGTAGCCACAGCTCCAGGTGGTGTCGATGTAGTCACGCTGTTCACTCCACTGGAACCACATGCGGATGCCGTCTTCTAGGAAGGTGCTGATCAGGCAGAGGCGCGCCACGTGAGGCAGGTACTGCTTGGTGACTCGCAGGAACTAGGGGCCACAGAAGGTGCTGGTGAGGCGGCTGCAGCCTGGAGCCCAGGACCACGACAGGCACTTCCCAGGGCAGGTGAGTGAGCAGTGGGACAGGAGAGACAACCAGCACTGGGCAAGAGCCCTCAGCAGCCCCGGTGCCTCCCCAGGGCAGACGGTGGGCTCCACCTGCTCCGGGAGCTCCCCTGTAAGTCTGGACACACAATAATCCAAGGCTCAGTCCCAGAGCACAGACCCCACAGGACGATGCCCTTCTGTCATTGCCACAGCTTCTATGTTCAGTTAAAGGCATGCACAGCTGTCCTGGGCACCGGAAGATGTTCAGCAGCCAACACCCCTGACCTTCACCCACAGATGTCATGACAGACCCCCAAACATGGTACCAAAATGCCTCCATCATTGCCACAATTCAGCTCACTGTGTTATGTTCAGAGCAAAACTCAAAAGGAATGAGGGCTGGGCGTGCTGGTGGCTCACATCTGTAATCCTAGATACCTAGGAGGCTGAGATCTGAGGATCACAGGTCAAAGAGAGTTCAGCAAAAAAGTCTGTAAGACTCATCTCCAATTAACCAAACAAAATGGAAGTGAAGCTGTGGCTCTAGTGGTACAGTGTTAGCCTTGAGCAAAAAAACTCAGGACAGCATCAGGGGCCAGCGTTCAAGCCCAGGACAGACACAGACACACAGACATAGACACAGACACAGACACACAGACACACACACACACACACACACACACACACACACACGAGGGGGGGGGAGAATGAGACACCCCCACACATACACACACACGGGGGGCGGGGGATGAGTCCCCCAGGCTAACCTGGCTCTAAGCAATGCTGGGAAGGATTGGACACAGCTAGATGCTAAGGCTTGGCCCAGCCTCTCCCCAGTGATGTATCCTCCAGACAGTACAGACCCTACAGAGATGATGGCCACATGGTTTGCCAGCCTGCAGGTGCCACTTGTACAGTTCTCCAATGTCCAGAGCAGCAAAGGGCAGAAGGCAGGAGAGTGTGGCTGGGAAGGTGGCTCAGTGGTAGAGTGCTTGCCTTGCATGCCTGAGGCCCTGGGTTCGATTCCTCAGCACTCACATAAGCAAAAAGAAAAAAGCCGGAAGTGGGGCTGTGGCTCAAGTGGTAGAGCGCTAGCCTTGAGCTGAAGAGCTGAGGGACAGCGCCCAGGCCCAGAGTTCAGTCCCCACGACCGGACCCAAAATAATTTTAAAAGGCAGGAGAGAGCTGTGCATGCTGCAGAAGGCTGGCCTTTCCCACCCCAACAAGCTCCCTCCAGAAAGCTCTACAGCCCACAGGGCAACTCAGCCCAACCATGCACAAAACATGGAACTGCCCCAGCTAATGCCCAAGAAGTGTTAGGATGTTCTTAAAGCCTGTATAACCTGCTGTGGACAAGCTCTCAACAGCAACAAGCTAATGTGTCAAACCACTGGCAAAGGTGGGGGAAAGCACTCAGGGCTTTTGTCTGTCCCCCGTGAATGGGACACTTGTGAGGGCTCAGTCAGGAAGCCAGCACACTCTGTCGAAGTCAGGTCCAAATGCCACGCAGGTGCATCACACCCAACACAGTTCCTGCCCTTCGGAGCTGAGCCACTTGGAGAAAGAATTCCAAGGAACACAAAGGCCTGGGGCTAAAGAACAGGAGACCCACCCATGGGATGATGTGTCAGGCAGAGTCCACAGGGCAGAATCTGTCCCTTCCAGGAGCAGGCCAGTGAAGGTCAGCTGCACAGGTCTTATTCCTGTATTCACAGGAATACAGATGTACATACCAGTTCCCAAAATTACAACATTTTAAAAGTCACAGGAATACAGAGATGTACATACCAGTTCCCAAAATTACAGCATTTTAAAAAGTTGTTTCAGGCCAGGCACTGGTGGCTCACACCTGTCATCCTAGCTACTTAGGAGGCTGAGATCTGAGGATCACGGTTCAAAGCCAGTCCAGGCAGAGAGGTCCATGAGACATATCTCCAATAAATGACCAAAAAAAGCTGTCAAGTAGAGCTGTGGCTCAAGTGGTAGAGGACTAGCTTTGAGCAAAAACAAGCCCGGGGACAGCACCCAGACCCTGAGTTCAAGACCTGGGATTAACTATATAAAAAACAATGTAAAAAAATATTGTTTCAAGGGCTGGGAAGGTGGCTCAGTGGCAGAGCGCTTGCCTTGCATGCCTGAGGCCCTGGGTTCGATTCCTCAGCACCACATAAAGAAAAAAGCCGGAAGTGGCACTGTGGCTCAAGTGGTAGAGCGTTAGCCTTGAGCTGAAGAGCTGAGGGACAGCACCCAGGCCCAGAGTTCAGGCCCCACAACCGGACCTCCCCCCCCCAAAATATATTGTTTCAAGGTCTCAAAACCAAAAACAGAGCCAGGCACTGGTAGCTCACACCTGTAATCCTAGCTATTCAGGAGGCTGAGATCTCATGATCGAATTTTGAAGCCAGCCCAGGCAGAAAAGTCCCCATGAGACTGTTATCTTCAATTAACCACTCAAAAACCAGAAGTGGCAATGTAGCTCAAGTGGTAGAGTGCTAGGTTTGAGCACTAAGAGACTCAGGGACAGCGCCCCGGCCCTGAGTTCAAGCCCCACAACCAATCCAAAAAAAGAGGTCCTCCATACATCCTGGTCAATGTTAGGGCTCCTGCAGAGCACCTACACACTGCTCCAGCAAGAAGTGTGGGGCAGCTGTTGCCACATTCCACCCAGTCTCTCCTCATGCCCTAATGCTCTGGATGCGCTCAGCAACCGTGTAATCACCCCCTTCTGTGGAAGAGATAAACAACATGTCCGTGGCTCCGGATTTAGCACTGATCTGAGGATCGACCTGTACTTTGTGCCTTCATCAAGCAGCCTTGGCAATGACATGGGACTACACCTGGGCAAAAGCCACCACCAGGAGGTGTTGAACAGAAGCTGGACAGGTGGCAGCAGGACCTCCAGGGGGGTGGACCCCAGACACCAGAGGTGTTCTGACTTGCTTCCAAATGAGCAGTAAGCCGATTCTGCTGACATGATTACACAGGGGCTGTGCCCACCCCAGGTAAGCAAACCAGCCCCACCCTGATGACGCCTGATGGGGCCAGATCCACCTCAGCATAAGGACTTTCACTGAGCATGCTCATTTGCCACCAGCAGTCTTCAAGACTGAGAACGTATTCAAAGCCTCCTGATGAGTCTGCTACTCTTAATTGGAGTGTCTGGGTCAATAGGATTAAAGAGCAAGAGGAGGGGGCCAAAAAGGGCAGGTAGGCCTCCCTCCCCTACCAGCATGGGCGGGAGGATCAACACAGTGATATGCACATCTGCAGATATTGTGCACTGAAATAAGCATGTCTGCTGCTTGGCAGCTCTGATTTCAAAGGCAAGCAAGAATGGGCACAAGGTGCCCCCATTTCATATGCATGCTGGCCACACACCATTCCAATTTGGTCCCCAGACTTGCAAGGTGCCACTCTAGAAGGCATCTCATAGCCCCTGTCCTCTCATCACAGCAGAAAGGAATCCTCAACCCAGGCAGGACAGCAGCACGGCTGTGAGAACAGCCATGTGGCAGGGACACAGGCACTGCCAGCATCCCACACATCAGCCCATGCTGGCCACGAGCACCGGAGCCTGCCTGTGAGCATGGTTCTCGTTATACAACTTGGAAGGCTTGCAGGAAGAGGCAAGTCAGTCCACCTCAATGAGCCTCACAACCAAGAAGGATGTGGCATACAAGCAACAAAACATGCAAGTGACTCAAGAAATGAGGAAACCAGGAGCAGATAGTTCACATTTGTAATCTTAGCTAGGAGATCTGAAGATAACAGTTTGAAGCCAGCTCGGACCAACAAATCCAAGACTTATCTCCAATTAACCAGCAAATGGTAGAGCTCAAGTGATAGAGCACCAGCCTTGAGCTTAAAAAAGCTAAGGCAAGAGTGTAAAGACCAATACCAGCACACACATACACACACCCATGAGGAAATCTGTCCCACAGAGTTACCAACAAAGAGGTCTGAAGGGGTTAGAAACAGAGACAGACCTGACCCAGACAGGACCAGAACACAGGGGTCATAACCACATAGCCACCTGGAGCCACACAGCACACAAGCATCAACATTCTGTTCATGTTCAGGGCAAAAAGGAATTGAGAAGACAGCCCTCAGTTCATAAGGATGTTGCGAAAAAGGCAGCTTTGGGGTTGCAACATTCAATGGCCCACAGCCTCTGCATCCTGTGCTGAGCAACCACCCTGCACCGTGGCGTGAGCGGTGAGTCATGCGCCATTCACACGCTGCTGCTGCACCCACTGATGATGTCAAGGGCCCTCTGCCTCAGAATACCCTGATTCCTCTCCTAGGGACCTGGGAATGATGAAAGTTTGGCAGAGGCTGGGAGGGTGGCTTAGTGTGGAGTGCTCACCTAGCATGCATGAAGCCCTGGGATCGATCCTAAGCACCACATACACAGAAAAGGTCAGAAGTGGCGCTGTGCCAGCCTTGAACAAAAGAAGCTCAGAGAAGTGCCCAGGCACTGAGTTGGTCCAGCCCCAGGACTAGCCAAAAAAAAAAAAAAAAAAGTATGACAGAGGCTGGGAATGTAGCTTAGTGGTAGAGTGCTTGCCTAGCATGCATGAAGCCCTGGGTTTGATTCCTCAACACCACACAAACAAAAAATAAATAAAAGTTTGACAGAACCGGGTGCCGATGGCTCATGCCAGTAATCCTAGCCACTCAGGAGGCTGAGATCTGAGGATTGTGGTTCAAAGCCAGCCCAGGCAGGAAAGTTCATGAGTTCTCCAATTAACCACCAGAAAACTGGAAGTGACATTGTGGTTCAAGTGGTAGAGTGCTAGTCTTGAGCTAAAGAGATGAGGGACAGCGCCCAGGCCCAGAGTTCAGTTCAAGACCCACAACTGACCAAAAAAAAAAAAGTTTGACAGAAGTCTCACAAAGGGGAAGGGTGTGACTCACCTTCTAGGAAAAGCCACTAACCAGGCTCCCCTTTGCCTCCTCAATGCTCCCCAGAAGGGGGCGCTGGTTTTTTAACCTCCTGTCAAGACCTGAAAGCAGTCTGCTCCCCAGTCCTTCATGGTAGAGGGCAGGCAGGCCCTTGGTGGAGATGACAGAGACCCTCACCATCAGCAAAACATACCACATCTGGGGACACACTGTTAATAACAAGGCAACTAATGCTACACACAGGGTCCAGGGGACCTTGATAGGACCTTGTCCTGGTGCCCCTAGCTAAACAAACGGCTGGCCATCTCCTAGCTCCCAGAGCTAGGGTAGCTCTGCCACCCTTAAGAACAGGTAAAAATGCCGGGCGCTGGTGGCTCACGTCTGTAATCCTAGCTACTCAGGAGGCTGAGATCTGAGGATCGCGGTTCAAAGCCAGCCCGGGCAGGAGAGACCGTGAGACTCCTATCTCCAGTAAACCACCAGAAAACCGGAAGTGTCACTGTAGCTCAAGTGGTAGAGCGCTCGCCTTGAGCTGAAGAGCTGAGGGACAGCGCCCAGGCCCAGAGTTCAAGCCCCACGACCGACAAAAAAAAAAAAGAACAGGTAAAAGCACCAAAAGGCACAGCAGAGAGTAGGGCCCCCTGCAGCTTCCTGTCACCTTGGTGACAGCCACTAAGTAGAACCCATTAAGTGCTAATGTTCCTGGTTACCAGTACAAATGGGCTGAGAGGCTTACACGGCAGTCTAAAAACCGAGAGTAGCATCTGTAGAGTACTGACATTATTTTGGATTGCTGAGTTCCTGAGTTTCTGGTCCCTTCCAATCTGGTCTCCAATGGCTTCCTTCTGAACACCCAGCTCCTGTGGAGAACACATCTCAGCACTTTCTCCACAGCCTGGCTTCTAAGGAGCAAGAGGACACCGTCCCTGGCTGCCAAGGGCAAGGAGGTTGATGCCAGGGGCAGAGATGCAGCTCACAAGAGCCAGCCAGCAGAAGCCAACCCATGTGTTCCCCGTGGACTGGCCTCTCCCATCAGAAGGAAAGGTCACAGGCCTCCACCCATCAGAAGGAAAGGTCACAGTTCCAACAAGCAAGGAAGATGCTGGCACCTGGCTAGCCTGCCTCAGCCCTGGGAGGATGAAACCAGAGGCCCACCTACCACAGTGAGGGGATAACAAGGCAGTGTGCATGGAGACCTGGTCCAATTAGTACTGTCATGGCTATCAGAGTGCATCTGTCTTAGCAGCCCAGACTTTCTGGGCAAACCCATCACTTCACTTTTGCTTTTGCTTTCTGCAGACAAGTTTACATAGAATGGATGCAGCATATTATCTGACAGTGATCTCAGTAATTAAGACTCCATTCTCCTTCTCAGCAAGTTAGATCCTCTCATTGAGAAGCCTGGACTCTCTTTCAGCACCTTCTTTACTGAAAGACAGGTTTAAAGTATTACAGGTGAACGTTCAAGAGAAAAGCAGCCCCTCGCCCCGACAGCTGGTTAGATTTTGGTGACAAAAAGACGTCATGTGGCTCTGTGCACCACTGCCCATTCACAGGTAGCAGAGATGGTCCTAATCCTGGTTCAGAAGATGAGGAGTCATACCCTGCCCCCCAGCCACCACTGCCCTCTGCCAGCAGCCACACAGAAGGTCCTGAGACATTCTGTGCTACTACCCAGCTGGACTCCTATGCTGAAGGTAGAAGCCCTTCTGAACCTGGCATGTTTCCTAAGCAGCGGGGCCTCCTACCACACCAGCCAGAATGCCAGACCCTGGAAGCAAGCTACACAGGGCATTAGCCAGGGAGCTGGAGACCCAGGATTTCCCACTGGGCTGGTGCCACTTATCAGTCCAGGAGCCCCAGCCGCTATGACCTTTCTCAGCAACTTGGCTGAAGTTGGTCCTGTGTCCCCACTTGGGCCTTCCCAGTAGCATGATGCTGTTTGAAGCAAAACAAAACACAGGGAGAAAAACGATTATGTAAAGAGCTCCAGAACTTTCTTCAGTAGAAAAATCTATCAACAGCTTGACTGGAGACATTTTATCTGGGTTTGGTTATGAAATTCATCTGCAAAACTGAGGGCTTTCCAGGCTGAAGAGCGAGGTGAGAGTATGTACCTCTCTATTCCCTCGGCAAACCCAGCTATCTTCTTATTGAGCTGCTACTTAAGGAATTAAAACTGGGTCACTAAAAATCATGTCAATGCTGAATGCTGCCATTGGCTCATGCCTGTAACAGTAGCTACTCAGGAGGTTGAGATCTGAGGATAGCTATTTGAAACTCGCTAAGGCAAGTGAGACTTTTATCTCCAATTAACTACCAAAAAAACAAAAACAAAGCTGGAAGTGGAGCTGTGGCTCAAATGGTTGAGGGCAAGCCTTCAGTGGAAAAGCTTAGGGACAGTGTCCCAGGCCTGAGTTCGAGCCCAATGAGTCACACTCACACACACACACACTCGTGTCCGTGAAAACTAACGAGGCCCACCTGAGTCTTGGAAACTGTCTTTGTGAGGAATATAATTGTAAAGCTGTGTCTGCACACATCAAGCCCTGCCTTGACCATAGGAGAAAAGTGATTCCTCCAAACTGCTTTTGAAATATCAGCCCGCACCAAGAGACACGACAGAACAGGGGGAGAAAGATGCCACTCCATCCGGCAGCAGCTGGCCAGATAGTGCTCACTTCTTCCACACACACAGGTCGGTCTGCTTACTCAGTGCCACCCCCCCTAAAAAAACCAAGAGCAGTCACCGCTCCGTGCTGGCGCGGCCTCCCGTAGGCTACCCGAGCCGGAGGAAGGCTGGGAGGTGGGCCGGGCACTGCCCCGCCTGCGAGCTCAAACGGCATAGCGGGACGCTCGGGAGTAAAGGGCGCTCACCT